TGCACAAAGGTCAGTGTCGTGCATGTTCGTGAAGAGCCCGTGTAAGCCATGTCTGTGTCAGTGATCATAAAGTGGGGAGGACAGGAGTACTCCATCAGTTCTCTTTCTGAGGAGGACACTGTGATGGACCTGAAACAGTCTATCAAGAGTCTGACTGGGGTGTTACCAGAGAGACAGAAACTACTGGGACTAAAGATTAAAGGTGAGAGGGCACAGATAAATCCCTTAGCATCATTATTAAATGACTTCTAATTCTTACTCTGTTTCTTTTAATTCCTGTTTCCAGGTAAACCTGCAGAGGATGAGGTTAAGCTGGGCTCTTTGAAACTAAAGCCTAATACCAAAATTATGATGATGGGTACCAGAGAAGAAAGCCTGGTAAGTGGAAGGGTGAGAGCAGAGGTGCTACAATGGCATGCAGTTCATAGTAACAACTCTGTCAAACTACAACAGCTCTATTAAGAGGTTTTATGAAATTTACTATGATGCACAGATTGCGCTTATCATGGACAGGAATGTCCTTTGTTTTTGTCCCTTAAGGATTCATTTGAAGCATTCTTTTTTTTCAGAGTGGAATGAATATGCACAACATAACACAATTTTTAATATTACAATATTATTGTATGCACAATTACTGCTACGAGATTTCCATGCTAGTAACATATTCGATGACATTTGCTAATTTGGGAGAAGATGTTTAAGGAGGGCCCTATGGTGTAAAGCTTTTCAGAAACTACAAACAAGATTTTTATTTTTTTATGGATAAAACAGCAGCCAGATGGCACTTTTTTAATATAATCAAATTGAGAGGGCAATATTTACATGTATTAATTTACCTATAACTTCATTTATTTGGAATAGTTTTGGGGGTATTCAGGGAAAGACTTTATGCCAATGAATTCTGTATCAACTGTGAAGCATGATCGGATCATAACAGTGTTACTGCCAATTCATCTGGTGGTTTGCACAACCTGTTTGAATAATGAAGAAGGAAGAAAACCTTCAATTTCCTCAACTATTGACAGCTTTTTACCATGATGAGTGTATGTAAATTTATGGCTGGATATATTTAAGATTTTTTTCTGATTATTGACCTGAATGGTGAATGTTACACATGTATATTTGTTCATTTTAAAGGAAGACGTTTTAGCTCCTCCCCCAGACAATGACGATGTTGTAAATGATTTTGACATTGAGGAGGAAGTCATAGAGGTGCAGAACAGGTAAGAAAGTTAACAGCCTGAGTGCAGATGGTTAATAAAATAAGAGGACATGTTGAAAGGAGATATCTATTTATCACTTTGTGTTTCTCGGGTCTTCAGAGAGGAGAATCTAGCTAAAATAGCTCGCAGAGTCAAAGACTATAAAGTCGAGGAACTGAATCCTCCCAGAGAAGGCAAGAGGCTCCTGGTATTGGATGTGGACTACACTCTGTTTGGTGAGTTAGAGACAATATATGAGAACCTGACTAATGTATAATTCACTTTTCCTCAAAGTTTTGGTTTCACTGGAAAACAGAAATCCTTGGCAACACATCATCTCATCATTTGAACCTGGAAATTGATGTTATGTGTGTTTAGATCACAAGTCCTGTGCTGAAACGGGTCAGGAGCTGATGAGACCTTTCCTTCATGAGTTCCTCACATCTGCCTATGAGGACTACGACATTGTCATCTGGTGTAAGTACCGTCTCCATTCTCTGGTTTAGTTATATCGATTGGAGGAATGGTTTTAGCATTCCTTAGATGTCCGTGAACAGTTTTTTGACGAATATGACTAAAAAAAACTTCCCTCTTGGCTAGCTTTGAAGATGAACCAAAATAAAATAGGTTTTCATCAGCTACAAGCCCATTTTATAAATTAGAATATTCCTGAAAAGTTAATTTCATGAAACACTTCCTGTAGTTTCCAAAACTGATGTTTTCAGGCCTTTATTTTTGTTAATTAGGATGATTTTCCACCTGCTAATAAAAATATGGTAGATAAAATTAGAACATTACATCAGACCAGTAAAGAATTGCTGTATAAGTATGGGCTTAATAAAACATACGTTTAATACTTGCTTAAATGTCAAAAGGTAACCCTAATATGACAAGCTTCCTGTGTTAATACAGAGATCAACTGCTATAGAAAATAGGCCAAATATTAGTCGTTTTCGTGTACCTGATGAACTGAAAAGTGTGTGAGAACATAAAAGTTAAAGTTTTGTTTGGCAAATCTTTCTAATTCAGCCACTTCTGGTGCATGATTGTACTCAGAGTGATATAATTAGGGTTTATTTTGAGTAATTTGAGTATTTAAGAACTTGAACATTATACCTGATCAAGAAAAATAGTCTTTAAATATATCCTAGTTTATGTAATGTCCTAAGCAGTATCTCCATATACTGTACAGTATATGCACTCAATACTTACTCAAGGCTACTTTTGCATAAATTTTGCATCCATGCTGCGTGAAATGGAGGTTTATTTGTGACGAAGCCACATAAATACAGTTTTCATTATTATTAAGCTGTGATCATTATAATTAACAGAAATCTGCTCTGCAATCTGTTTGAAATTTAGGAGTTGATTTGATAAAAAAAAATTATATATAAAATTTTTATTTGAATTTGTTTTTGTGTAGCATTCTAATGAATTGAAAAGTTGGGGAATATTTATCAAATGTAGAAAAATCAATATGTTTATCTCCATCTTTCAAGATTCCCGGGTTTAACGATGTATACTCGTGCTTTCTCTCTTTAGCTGCTACAAGTATGAAGTGGATAGAGGCCAAGATGAAAGCAAGTATTCCTCTTGTTTTTTTTGTTTTTTTCAAAGTGTGTAATTTTGCCTAGCCCAGTTTTTCTTAAACATTCTGCTATGCCTGGATAAAAGGGATTTATTTATTGATTGGGATTTTACTCCAACCGATAAATTGTTCAAAAATAATTAGTAAAGACATCACAAAATAATTGTTTTACATACATAAACATCGTTTCATCAAAACAAATCCAATTTATTCCCCCTTCTCATCACATTGAGTAGATGCATCCCAAAATTGTTTCTAAATTTGCAGTACCACAATCTTTCCAGAAGGTGGCGGTGTTGAACATTCGTACACAGTGAGTTTAGGCTGTACATACTGTATCTGTGTGTTTCCATACATGCAGGAGTTGGGAGTGACGGAAAACCCAAGTTACAAGATCACATTCATGTTGGACAGCGGAGCCATGATCACAGTTCACACCCCGAAGAGAGGGGTGGTGGAGGTTCGTACACCTGAAACGTTTCTTGTTTCATTCCCATCTTCACTCGGATTAGTTCATTTAACTTAGATGCACTGTAAAAAAAGTGTCCTCCTGTTTAGGGTGATTACCATAATAACTGCCCTGACTTTCTGTTTTCCATGACATCTCCAGGTGAAGCCTTTAGGTGTGATCTGGGGAAAGTATGGGGAGTTTTACAACAGAAAGAACACCATCATGTTTGATGACATCGGACGAAATTTCCTCATGAATCCACAGAATGGACTAAAGGTTGGCTGTACTTTTTCCTCTTCTGCATAGGCTCTGTGATCCACACATGCTGCTGTGACTTGCACCTTACTTTGTGCTGCTGTTTGCTAGATCCGACCCTTCATGAAGGCCCATCTCAACAGGGAGAAGGACAGAGAGCTCTCTAAACTGGCTCAGTACCTGAAAGAAATCGCCAAGCTTGAAGACTTCAGTGGACTTAATCATAAGCATTGGGAGAGGTAGGCTGATGGAGCGTAAAATGTGTTAACAAGGCAATGAATAGTATTCTTTTAATCACAAACACAACATCTGTAAGCCATGGACAGTACACTACCTTACAAAATCAAAAGTAGATATTGAACTTTGATGATAATAATGAAAGCAGCATCTTCCACATATTTGGTGAACCACCTTCATGGATTGTGACAAACAGAAAACTGTGCTTATTTCAGCTTTCTTTCAAAACCTGCTTTCAGCTCTTCCATAGAGGTCAAGTTTGAGGAGTTCATAAACCAGACATCTGTTCCGCTTTGAACAGATGTCCACAGATCATCTGTTCCTTGGTCTTCATGGTCCTGTTTGCACTGAAATCACAGCTAATGTCACATGACCAAACAAATACCACATGACCAACCTCCTCCGATCCCCTCCTATAAAAAATAGCAAGAATATGAACATTAATATCGATTGTTAAAATGATCGACTGATACCAGTGTTGGTGCCAACATGTCGTGCATCTCGACTATTACATTAAATTCCAGCAAATTAAGATTTATAGCTGTACTGTGACAACATTTGAAGGTTTAGTTTTTTTAAGATACTGTATATTCCTAACATCTATTGGTTGTGAAGTGAAAGTAATTTAATTTGTGTGTTTTTGTAGGTACTTATCCAAGAGGCAGCAGCACTGAGGAAACAGTCAACTATCTACAAACAATTGGGCTAGAAACAACAACCCCATCCTTCAGTTCTACCCAACACACACACACGCACGCACACACACACATATACACACACACACACACGCACACCCAAATCCATCTCTCCAAACAACCCTGTTGGACTTAGATCACCAATTAACCCGTAATGTTGCAGACACCAACACTGTCAGAACTAGCTTCCTTCCTCCTTTATATATTTGCATGGTCTTCTTGGTCTGAATATTTTCTTCACATTCATTGCCGTGACAAATTCCAGAGTGACGACCAGCTCATGATGGACAGCTATAACACTCAGTCAAGTCCACAGTGGCCTACAGATTTCTACAGTTGTTTACATCTCTTTTGTTACATAAATGTTGGAGGAAATTAAAGGTCATGTTCCTGTGTGTTCATCCCACCTCTGAACCCATTCTGGTTCACAAAGCTCAAATATCACCTCTCATAACAGGTATTGAAGTGTTTTCAGAGTGCAGGGAGTCATTTGGCTTAGCGGCTAACAGTGTACGTTGCATATCTAGAAAATCTCTTGGTTGTAATGAAGAACTTTAATTTGTACCCGTTTCTTTTTTTTTTTAGAGCAGTGGTCCAAACCAAAAGCAGATTTGATCACTGCTATACAACAATATGCAATAACCACTAAAACTACTGTGAGATAAAAAATAAAATATCCATCAAATTTTGACACTGATTACATCACTGACCATTACAATGGACTTCAATGCATGTTTTGCTATAATATATTCATGAGTTAAGTGTGCAGCTCTGGTCAAGGCTGGATGGGTGTTGACGTGTATTTGCCCAAAAATGTGTTTGTTCTGTTTTCGTTTTGGGTGTCTTTTCTGTGTGTAATTTCTACATGCACACTTTAAAACACTCATTCAAACAAGGATCAGTTGCTTGAGTTTTTTTTTTTTGGTATTGAAAGATTTTACCAAACAATGTAAGTCTAATTTAGACTATTTCCGTTGTTACCAAAAGTCATTTTAAGCTATAGATGAAGGTGTAGTTTATCATTTCATGGGATGATGTCATTGACTGACTTTTTGTTTTCTTATGAACTTCCTGTAAATTTAACCATAAAAACTTTTTTGTACCAAAATTGTCTCTGCTGCTTATTGCTCCTCTAACTCTTTAAAATGAGTTCTTTTTTAATGCTGTAACTTTTTTTACTCATCGTCTCCAGCACCGTCTGAGTTGTAGTAGAATTCACGGTCAGTTCCATGATGGTGAGCTGACCAGGTCCTGCTGCAGCAAATGATCATCAAACCATCACACCTCCACCTCCATGTTCTACAGTTTGCATAATGTTTCAGTTTTGCACATGTACAGTCATGCAGCAGATTCTCAATCTGGTCTTTGACTGGGATATTGTAACATATAAATATGGCGCAATCTAAACCCCATTGTCGCTTTGACTTTATGTTTGCTGTGGTGTTTCTGTTGCATTTGTTTTCTCCCAAACCTGTTCTGGTGTCAGAATAATTCAGCCTTGGTCTTATTTGTTCAAAGAATGTTTTTTTTCCATAAGTTCTGGTCTTTGACTTTGTTCATTTAGCAAATATTAATTTGGTGTTTATGTTTTTCTTAAAGAACCTCCTGTTTAAGTTAAATCTATGCAGTGCCTTTCTGGTTGCTCTGACAGCTATGCACATGTTGGCTGTTTTTGCTTTGAATGTTTTCCATTTGTAGATAATTTTCTGTGCAGTGAAGGAAGTATTTTAAGATGATCACACAAGAAATAGAGATGCTGGATTTTATTATGAAATATAAAAGAAAAACATTTTGGAAAATTGGTTTAAAAAAAGAAACAATATTCAATTTAGTAATTCACAAAGGTTTTCATCCATTGTAAACTTATAAAAGTAACTTAAATAAAAAGGAATAAATACTGTACATGTATACATTCATTCATTTTTAGCAGGGCTTAAAAAAACTGAAAATCTGGTTTTAAAGTAGTTGTCACATTTTCCCAACTTGCTTCGTTTTAGGAATGGCAGTTCATGATGTTTTTGTTCACTCTGGAGAAAAAAAAAACTAATTATGATTAAAACAAGTGGCGGAAAAGTGAGTTTATTTTAGGACTAAAAATAGTTTCAATAACATTTCTTTATATTTTAAGAAGGTAGACTGAAGCACTTACGTGTACTCACTCCAGGGGCTCCACGGTCCCTGGGTAAATTTGTCCTGAGCTCTCACACAGAAAACATACTTCTTGGATTTGATATTGACTTCAAACTTAGTTTCTTCAGTGATTTTAGGCTCCTGAAATAATTGACACCACAGTTTAAACATAAAGTGATTTGGCCAAACTGGAATCTTAAATTGACATTTGCATTTCGGTTACCAGTAGGATCTTTTCGGTGTGGCAGGATTGTCCATTCTGGACGACCTTGACCTGGAAGTGGAGGCTGAAGTAGGTGCGGGGCTTTTCCCAGGTGTCCGGGTAGTCCCAGCTGAACACCTGGCCACAACTTATGTGCAGGTTGGGGAGGTTTTCTGGCCTCACTGGATACAATATGAAGAGATGAAGTCAAGAAAAGTAAGTAAATCTCCAAATGAGAAGTCAGAAAAACATAATCACATATGTAATCACTAAATGCAAAAAATCATAACATCAAACCCTGATATTTCTGTAAATGGACCTACCAATCTCTCTCAGGTAGAATGACTTTGTGTAGGCCTCCAGACGAGAGTAGCTGTGCATGTAAATGGTGAACTGGATTTGGTGTGTTTCCTCTTTGTAAGGGCAGTCGACATCCTGGCACTGAACCCCCAACCCATCAGCATCCAGCACACAGGAAATCTCATCCATGTTACTGGATTCAAAACAAATGGATAAATTATGATCTAAAACAGGTAATAGACAATAGCCCCTTTATGAAAGTATTGCACCAAGTTTATTTAAAGTGATACTCAGACTCTATTTAAATTAGTGGGAGACTAATGAAGAGAGACTTCTGTCCTTACCGGTGTGCCTTAACCAGGAGCACAGCAGCATGGGATCTGTGATGCGTTTTCTTCCAGGTGCAGTGGAAAGAGCCTTTGTAATTCTGTGCTGAGCAATAGATGTGACCTGCAGGAATAAGAATAAAAAAATAATGGACTTAACCTGCTGCTTTTCTAAGCAGGAAGCTGCAAATGGATGAGAACAACACAGAAAAGGACCAGCCCAGATTTAAACTCAAGATCCTCTTTTTGCAAAGCAACAGTGTTAAGAATAACACCATGCATAACGGCATAATAACCAACTAATGTTTAGCTTTAGGTGTTTCTATATGCTATATTTAAAATAAATGTGTATTCTTTAATTGATCATTGTTACCTAACATCAGGACCAAAATTAAATGTTATTTTTTCTCCCTTTTTTCCCCTTTTCCTTCATTCTTTCCCTTTTCTCATGGAGGAGGTGCAGATTGATCTTTTCACAGATTATCTGTTGTTTCTGCTAAAGGTGGCACACCCAGTTTCTGTGTTAGGAGATTTTTATTTAGGATGGTCTGGATGGCTTTTTTTCTTAGTAGTATGTGACATGATTATTTGATAACTGATTTTTTTATGAAGTTATAGTTCAATAAAAAAACCCCGTGATGATCTAAGCCATTTTAAAAGAATCTCTAATTTAGCTAATAATTTATCAAAGAATGTTATTTCAGTTCTCTCCATTATTCTTATTTTAGCAGAACAGCGACATCCATCCTATTATTTTTTAATCTTTCTTGGATCCCATAACCTGATTCCCTCTCAGTCATCCCTTTCTCCTCTCACCTTGTCCAGGGGATTTCTCCTCCAGGATGACAGTCCTGTTGTCTGGATCCAGCTGGACCAGGATCAGCGTGTGGTTCAGGTATTCTCCACTAGAGCTGAGGTGACAGGAGTAGTTTCCTGCTTTCATCTCTTTCACCAAAACGGTGATCTGGTTTCCCTGCAGAGCTGGCGTCATTTCCTCCCCTGAGAAATCCAGAAGTTAATAGTATCAGTTATGTTCCTCTCAGGTTTGTAAACTTCCTATGTCTTTGTTAACTTCTATTACAACAGCAAAATATCAGGTGTCTTTTATTAAGATTATGCTCTGAATTAGCCCTCAGTGAAGGTGTTCTACAAATATGATATTAGCTGCACTGAATATCTAACAATTTTTATTTATTTTTTTACCATTTTTCTTCCAAAACACTTCATCGTCCTGATAAGAGTCTCCGCAGGTCAGGGGAACTTCCACTATGCTGCCATGAGCATGTGGTACCTGTACCACCACAGCTGGGGAGATCATAAAAAGAAATAAGAGATGAGTTAATATTTAACATGAGGGTGGCTAAAAAGAGACGAGCAAAAAAGAAAAGAGATAAAAACCATTGTCCATTAGAGTCTGGATTCTGGGATGGGAGATGCTGGAGTTGGCAAAGCAAAGGCTGGCACTTAGAACCAACAGGAGCAACAACTGCATCTGTAAGAGATGAGAATACATTAAAAACATGAAAACCTGTTTTGAGGTATGTGAGGTTATTAAACTAGGTCAGCAATATTTCATAGTTTAGGAGCTACAAATAGAATGTGTTTATAAATTACAAAGACAAAAACATCACATCTAGAGGGGATGGAAAAACCTAAGCTTTAATAAAGAGTATAAATACAACTTTTATTTTCTTTCTTTTCATCCAACACATATTTTCACCTGATGATTTCAGACTGAGGACCAGCGGGTTTAAATATCCCAGCACATAGATATTACAAATATTGAAAATGAGAATATTGAGGAAAATATTGACCGAACATCACATATTAAACACTTTTTATGTGATGAATAATTTAGGTTAAAATTTAAGCAAACCTTTGTTCCTTCAACTGATTTTTTAATAAATTCAGCAGTATGCTATACATTCAAATAACAGAGCAAATTGAAATAAATACATAATAATGAGTGTAGTTTACCTTTATCCTGTCGCTCGATCCAAAAATGTTGAACTTGAAAGCAGATCAGAGGAAGGCTGTGTCTTGTCTGTCTAGACTCAGCATGCTCCTGGAGTATTTATGCACCAGGCTAAAAAAATCCCCCGAGTGTGTGTGCATTTGTGCGTGTGTGTGTGTGCGTGTGTCTGTGTGTGTGCACGTGTGCATTTGTGTGCGAGTGTGTGTGTGTGTGTGCAGGGGATGGGTTTCCACGTCCCTTCATTCAGTCGATCAAAAAGCAGATCCAAGTGTTTGTTTGTGTTTTGTTAATCAGTAGCAAATGTCTCACCTTTGACATTTGCCGTGTGATTGATGACAGTTGTGAGCTCAGTTAAGTCACCATCATGCAAAAGACGTCACATCTTTTACAACAAAAGACCTGTTCATGTTCCACATAAAAAGTGCATGTTTGACTATTAAGTTGCTGCACTGACCAGATCAGGGGAAGTGAGCGCAACCAAATAACAACCGCGTGGAAAGGGAACTGGAGATATGCAGCTGTTTAATTGATGACACTGAAACACAACCAATACTTCTCTGGAAGAAAACAATGCTCCAAAATGTCGTTTTAACTGGAAAAATCACAACGAGAAACCCCTGGATTTGATTTGGAAAAAAGGATCGATGAATGTAAAGAACAAGTTTATAATAATGTATGAAAAGGGTCGTTTCTTCATCCTGCAATATGACCCCTAACATTTAGTGAGTTTCTGTAATGAGACCACTTCTTATAAATAAACCTTCGACTTAGCTGCAGAAGTTTCTTTTAAATCTCATCAGCCTCTGAACAGAAAGGTGACAGATGACTGTAGTAGGAGGGAAGTGGTTTGAAACTATATCATTTCTAACTCTCACTTTCTCTTAATTTATCCCTCTGAAAAGAATCGCCAAAACCTTTTCCCTTTGACTCATCAGTGTAGTTTCAAATATAAGAGAAAACAAAACGAAAAAGGGCAGCTTTGATACATTTCCTCTGCTGAAGGAGGAGAGATGTCCTTTCTCTTCGTGGATAAAAGCAAATCTTTCCCCAAAGCAAACTTGTGCCTTTTGTTTCGTACTCCCCCCCAAAATGTCTCAATTCTGCTTCCAATTTTTAGTTGGACGAGTTTGAACACTGCATTCATGATTTTCTGCCATTGTCTGCCTCTAACCTAGACTGAGTCTAATCCTTTGCATGCAGCCATAACATACTTTCTCAATATTTATTTTTAATGTTATAATGTCTACCAAATGCTTTTTCTGAAACCTGGATGGATATTTGACCTCTATGTATGTCAAAATTGATGAAATATGCAACAGGTCTGAGTCGTGGCAGCAGCTAAATGTTGACCAGCTTTATCTGTCTGAACACTGATGATGTTTGTAGGGGAGGTCAGTTCTGTTGGAACACCAAAATCTGCCCAAATGGGAAACATCGGACCCAACCTGTCACCTCAATAACACCATTGTTATTGTCCACAGTGAAGCAAGTTCTCGCTCAACATGAGCCGAGAGGCTGATGACTAAAAATAACCCCCGCTACATCGACACCTTCAAGCTCAACATCGGTCTGCTCCTGATGAACAAAGAAAATCTCAAGACAAAGTCAAAATTGAGCTCTTTGGCGAAAATATGCAAGAAGTGTGTTTATACAAGGCTTTCAAGTCAAATATTTTTACAGCTGTCAAGCATGGTGGTGGAAGTATCATGATGAGCTCAAACATTTAAAAAGACCAAATCTATTATGATAATGTCAACAATAAGTGGACGTTTATATGCAAGTAGAACTGTATATATCTTCCTCTATAACATCTCTGGATCAATGAGTTTTTAGAATCAATACATTCATGTTATCACAGGGAAAAGTAAGTACATGTAAAATATTGAAACTAAAATGTAAAAAAAATTGGGAAAATAAGGAGAAAATAACATTTTATTTACTATTGCTTAATACAGTAGATCCCAAATTGGAGGTCAGGAATCCACTGGAGGTCAGACTGAGGAAATCCCCTGAAATAAAATGTAATTATTTATTATGGTGGCAGCATCATAACCAGTGGCTTTAAAAAAGATGAATAAAATGATAAAGAAGGCTAGTTCTTCTCTGGAACATTACAGACAAACCTGAGCTTCCTCTTCATTAAACTGTCAGACAAAAACAGAGTCAGTCAGAGGCTTTGTCAGAACCGCTGTGATACTGACCACTGCAGCAAATATTTCCTGCCCACAGTTATCACCATATGGAACAACTGTTTGAGGAAACTTGTATGACGTACATTTTAAAACTAACAAACTGAATCAAAACTTCATTGGAGCACCTTTTGATTTAATGATAATGTTCAGTCTTCTCTGGTAGGAGTCGGTCAGCGCCCCACTTCCTGCAATATTCACCTCTTGTCCTTCAAGAGATGCACATTTTCTGACATAATTAACTCTCGCCACTATCTGGGCTAAAACAGGTTTATTTTTTGCTCATTAAGTCATTTTTTGTTGATTTAGATTTATCCTTGAATTTCTGGCAAATTTATCATATATTATAATTCAGCTTTCAAGGAGAGACCTACAGATTTCGGACCAGTGTTGACTAGTATTTGTCACTTACTGTAACTTCACCCACCTTGACTAAAGTCTCCCTTTGCAAGGAAAGTAAAATGAATGTAATTTATTTTCTACATTAAATTTAGAAAACAAGTTGAAATAATTAAAGCCTCATATTTTGGCATCACATCAGATATGTTCTTTATATTCTAATTTAGATGCTATGTAGATTATTTCTCCCTGATACAAACTGTTTAATGTAAATTGACAGCATCACAACTCGCATAAAACATAAGAAGTTAGTGAAAAATGGAAAAAAAAATATAAACACTGGACAAAAATTAATTAAAAAGATTCTATTTTTATTCAAAATATGCAACTGTGTTTCTGAAGTCCATCTTTTTCCCTGTGAATGAGTATGGTTTTGGGCCTGGACGTGTAAGCCGCCTTACACACACATACATACACACACACACACATACAGCCAAAGATGAAACAACTTACGGTTTCCTAAATGATTAATTTGATTGCTCGGTGAATGAATGAAGTATGGAGTCCAGCAGCAGCTGCAGCCAGAAATCCGGGCTGCTAGCTCTTCACATTATAAAAAGACTAAATCTCTGAGCAAACGTACAATTCTAAACTTTTACACAGATGTTAGGCGTCTCATTTACCCTGACTGACATGATTTGATGTAGTCCCCATTATTTGCTAAAATGCTTTAAAAACTTATGATTGCTGAATTGTCTCGTTTTATCTTAGCTGTCTGAACTGGAGAAAAGTTTGGAAAAAGGTTTTAATACTGTAGCCTGAAAAACAGGAGTTCATTTCGACGACCCTTGAGCAGAACTTGGACATAGACCTTCAGGCCTCTCAGCTGCTAAGCAAACCCTTGAACCATCTCTTTTCGTAGTTTGGTTTCCATAGGAACAGTTAAAAAGACTTCAAAAAAGGTCAAAATTTCAACGTGTAAAACCAAAATAAGGAGTTTTTTTCCTCCAGTGTCTTTATGCTCCTCCGCCTTAACGTAGCCCTTCTCAGCGAAAACAACCGAAGAGCACAGAAGACGAGAAGAGTCGCCTTTAACTTGGCTGTGTCTCTTGTCGTCCTCATTGGTTTACACTAGGAGGGCCTGGCTTCAATTAGTTCTCCACCGGCGTTGGCTCTTGAGGCAGAGCAGACACTCCTTCCACTGCCGCGGGTCCAGAGGCCTCTGCTGTGTGTCCGGGTGGCGTAACAGGCTCTGGTGGAGGCCGCTGGCTTAGGATCACCTGAACTACGTAGTCCCTGGAAATGTTGAGTTGGTCCAAGCGCAGCCTGTCTGTCAGCGGCCGCCCTGAGAAAAACCAGCGCTGTGTGGCGGCGGGCACGCCCTCCTGATTCTGCAAGCGCCGCTTCATCATGCCCACAGTGTCTGTGGAGCGGACCGCCAGCCGCAGATCGCGGCCCGTGGAGAGCCGCAGCCGGAGCTGGCACTCGCCCCCAGGGATGGGGTCGCTGGCGCTGCCCGTGGACGGGTCTGCCGTCAGGGAGTCCGGATCCGACCCGTCGGGCTCGTCGGAGCGCTCTTCGATCATGTTGACAGGAGGAGAGAGGCAGTACACCGGCAGCTGGTAGCGATTTCCCAGCTCATCGTAACATTCGGTCAGAGCGCCTGGAGCGGAAACAAGAAAAACAAAACTTTATATTCAGGGTTTCGTTTTTGTCTCCCCAATTTGCCATCTTTGCACAAGCATCACACTGCAAAAACAAAATCTTACCTGTAATTTTGGCCTATTTTCTAGCACAAATATTTTAGCACACTTAAAATAAGATAAAACTAACATAACAGTAACTTTTAAGCAGGACATAGAGGCTTAATTTATGTAAATAATTCCTTAATATTGATGAAAAAGTACTTATTTCATTGGCAGATAAAATCACTAATAATATGGGAAATGCTACAAGTGAAATAAACTGCCAATGGAATAAGTACTTTTTCATTAATTTTAAGTAATTATTTACATAAAATAAGCTTCTATATCTTGCTGAAAAGTTACTTTTGTCATATTTTAAGTGTGCCAAGATATTTGCTCTAGAAACTAAACCAAAATTACTTGGAAAGCTTTTGTGTTTTTGCAGTGCAACTTCTACAGCACCTTTCCCAACTATTTATACACTTTCAACAATAAATGGTTTACAGGATATTAATACCTTCTGGGGTAATAATTTACCATTTTTATAACCACATCCAAGTGTTATGTGTCCTGGAAGTGATAACTCCTCATCACAACTTACAGTAACTCGGATCACAACAACAATACAAACATTAACTGCATGATTATTTTATTTTTTTTTATCATATCTGGGTAAATAGAAATGGGGAGCTTCTCGTCCGAAGCTGTTAAACTGAATGGGTTGGCCTCTTAAGTTTTACGATTATTTGATTCCTGAAGCAACAGGTGTGGGTGTTTTGACGGAAGAATGATATGTAACTCGTTTCATCTGTAATTAACTACATTTTGCCGCATTTATTCTGTTGGTATTCTTTCAAATACTTTCATTATGGCAAAAACGAAAAGAAACATATTTGAATCATT